TAGTCATAGAGCCAATCTCCACCCACTGTCCATCCACTAGCTGGTGAATTGAGTTGACTGCTGACCGTCTCAAGCCACCAATGAGTACTAGCCGTCCACAGAGAGTGGCAGCTGTTGAGTTTTTCACTGGTAGAGGAGGGAGAGGTTTCCAGGATAGGGTGAGAGGTGATGTGATTGGTTGATCACTGGATGGTAGGGCTGCAAGAGAACACGAGTAGCCATTAGCATCACGTCCTATCACATTCAACTGATCGCCAAATATTGTGGCTGAAGGTAAGGGGAGAGGTTGTGGTAAGTCTGTTAGTTGGTACCATCTTCTGGCTTTCACTTGCAATAGTTGAACTGTAGCAGTCCAACCATCACCAACAGACCCCCCAATCGCAATGAGGTAGTCACCATCAGATGTAGTAACTACAGCAGTGTAGGAATGTGCAGTGTTCATTGGAGGGTATTTCTCAACCCATTTCCTCTGTCGTAGTGTGTATAGTTTGTTAATATGACGAAATCCATCCAATCCCCCCACAGCAGTTAGTTCCCTGTCTATAATGACTAGTCCAGAGTTGCTACATGGACATGAAGGAAGTTCCTCCCATTTCTCTGGACTACTTTCATATTGGTAGACTGAGTTGGAGTCACTAGGGGTGAAGTATGCAAATCGACCATCAGTTGTTGCAGATCCTCTGATCATTTCACAAGGTGCTGTCTTCTTATGATGACACTGCACAGTGAGCTGAGGGGAGATGACATGACATGTAATGACATCATAATAATCGATAATCAAGCAGCAAGCTAATTAAAATCCCGTTTTTAGGAATAACAATCAAAATTACATGGATAAGGCGAGTAATTAAAATTTTCGCGCATGATTTGAGGGTATTTATGGTGTGGGTCACAACTAAAAACAAAGCTCCCTATCATAGCTCATACATCTATTGTGCTACCATGCCTATCCCTATTGCACTAAAAGCACTAAAGTGCAAACCCTCGACGCACTACGGTATCGCTAATTGATGGGCTGGGGGCTAGGCTATGCAGTTACTAGCCCTAGTAGCTCGCGGAGAGTCTGACACGGGCTAGCTACAGTAGTAGATTGCATGCGGGAGTCGATACACGCCGTCTGTTGCAACTTCTTGTGCCTCCAAGGTACGCGGAGTAGGCCGATCAGTTCGAGGTAAGCCAGCGCGATTATGTATATTGGCTTTTTCGCTTGTTTTCACGGCATATCTCTCGAACGCAGTCGTTTCAGGAAAATCGCCTAATTAATTATCAAGTTCGCGTAGTTCTGAAGCTGTTGGTATCGCTCATTGGCCACCTCGTAGCCTGTAGTGCCAGAATAAGTGTCGAAAACACACACACACACACCATCTTTACACTTGTGATATCACTAGAGTTAAATACACATCAAGAGTAACAAGCCCACTTCCCCCTTAGGAAATTCCATACCTATGACATCACAACTCCCTATAAATACCCCACTGTGCATTAGTAGTACCATAGGATTGCAAGACCCCAGAGAGCCTAAGGTATGTGATTGTAACTACTTCAATACAGTACTGTAAGCTGTAGATTTTGCACGAGAGTCTGTGACATTGGATGTGTGGGGAGAGTTGGCTAGCCATCAAAGATCTTTAACCCACTGTCCCCAGTTCTCAAGGCTGGGCATCCATGTCCTGCTCTTGTGTTTGTACGAGTGAGACTGTGTAATTACAATGTGATAGGCTAGGGCTGCACAAGCACAAAACACCGAAGCAGAAGTGGCAGCTCAGTGGTAAAAATTACATGTATTTTTAGATTTCAAAAAATACATGTAATTTTGACCACTTAGCTGCCGCGTGTAGTGAAGTTGACAAAAGTCCCCCAGCCTCTGGTCTTATTAACCCTCGGCGCGCATGCGCAGCGAGGGTTACAGTAGTTGGGTCTGTCTGTGTGTCTGTGTGTCAGTCTGTGTGTCTGATACTCTTCGTCTTCTTTCGCCTGAAAACGCTCCGTTGCAAAGCTAGAGCGCTTCCACCATTGTACGGCTAATGCGTAGTCGGCCATTTTTATCGCTGCGGAACCGGAAAATGCCTCTGGTCACATTGTGTTTGTGTTTGGTCACTTTCCCTTCTCCCCCTTTTTCCTCGATCACCCCCAACAAACCCCCACACACAGACAGACAGACAAACCAACTACTGTAACCCTCGCTGCGCATGCACGCCGAGGTTTAATAATTAAGGTACCGTAGAAGGCAGAGAACACCACTGCACATAATGGCGATGGAACCATTTTGTGTCATGTGCCAAGTGTGCACTGGTATTCATTCTCTCCCATAGTGTATGTATGTGCACTGGTATCCCATAGTGTATAGTGTATGAATACACCATACAACCAGACACCAACACAATCAGTCAATTTCTAGGCATTTCCTAAAGGCCTTGTGATACTCTACCACAACAGTTATCAATGTTAATGTTGCCTACCTTTCCTGGTTTAACCACAGGTGGTATGGCATGGGGTACAGCTGTTGCTAGGGGAGCAGGCTGGGTCTGACAAAAGAGGGTGGAAACACAAAGCGATATTCACGGATATGATTCACAGCCAATGAATAAAAATGGATATCAAACAGCTTAACACGCAAAAAACGACCAGACAAAGATATAGGGATTGTGTCATGTAGCTTTGTGTAGTCATTACCCCTAGTTCTTCTTCATGTTTGGAGCCAATCCCTATATGCGAAATAATTTTCCCACTTGTATATATAGGTTACACTATGCCTACGAGCCGGTTTAGTGTATGCACTAAACCTTGGAGTGGGTGTAGTGTAACCAATTTGTACCACAGGAATGCGCACTAAGACAACTTATTAGTATGCATGCCATGGTGTATGAGAGCTCATACCACCACATGTGAGTGTATGGCTGAGTCAGCACACCATACACCATGGCATGCATACTAATAAGTTGTCTTAGTACACATACACTGCGTGTGTAGGATGATCCTAACCTCATCCTTGGATCCTAGCAAAGACAAGCACAGCAACTCATTTTCACACCCACTTTGCACCTTATACATTGCTACATTGCTAGTGCATCTTACACAGCACGGATGGTGCATGGGATAGACACACAATAACCTTCGTGCCATTCTCAACTAAAACCTGGGACCTGAAAATGGACTGGCTGTAGAAATTACCTTGTTCACTCGTAAAATGGTTCCAGAGGCAGAAGGGTGCGGAGAAATGGCTCCAGACAAACTAGGGAAGGCTCCAGCCTCTCTGTATCTGTAGGGAATTATGACATAATCCAAACCTCTGACAGAGCCTATCATTGACTTACACTGGCAGTTCACTAGCTCAGTCATGGGAGGACCGTCTCTCATTGGACAAGACTCCACGTGATGGTGAAAGGCAACCAGCTCTCCCTGCCAACCACACCCCTTGTCCTCGTGGCGACAGAACACACGCAGCGAGTTCACTTGACGCTGGAAAAGTTTATTTAAAACTGTGCTCCGATCCTCCTCCTTGCACAGCGGACATGCCCCTCCCTCTCTCTGTATTCTGCTGGCAGCTTCCTCTGAGATATGATACCACAGCATGATGTGAGGTGAGGATGGAGCAGAAAAAGACCCAGTTGTCACTGGACAGAAGAAGTCATCTGATGGCTCCTCAACAAATGGATAGTCCTCATCCACTGACGACACTTGGCCTGGCTCCTTGCTAAAAGAGTGCATTTTAAATCTTTACCAAAGATGGACCAAAACGTTTTACTACCTTTTGTTGGCAGAATTAGACTTAGCAATTGCCGAGCTGTCACTGGTTGAGGATGGAGCCACCTGCATAGAGAAAAGACTCTGATGTCTGGTTGATAATGCATCGTAGGACCACACAATGCAATGCAAAGCCACAGAACATTGTGAACATACTATGACGCAAATC